TATAGTTTATCGCTCTATAATCATTTTTCTCTCTCTCTCTTATTCTTTCCACCATTGCAATCTTTAAATTTATTTAAAAATAATTAGACCATCTAAGACTTATAACTAATAAGTAATGATATGTTATTAAAAAAAAAAATCTTGATCGGGCACGAATCTCGATGCAAGGTCAAGTTGGAACTTTCAAAATTAAAATTAGGGCCATCTGAACTCCGATTTCAAAAAACCTATAGTCGAATTGAGAGTCTCGAGAATACAAACCCAACGACACCACATTCAACCCAATCCGAGCCCAAACGAGTTCAAATCAAGGATTAGAAGCATTGTTTGAAGGTTTGAACCACAATTTGGATTACCAAATGATTTTCAAACATAACAAGCTTATAATCGAATTGAGCGGCTTGACGAAACGAATCCAATGAGCCCAAGATCACCAAAATCCGAAATTACTAAGATATTCAAATGTCTATCAAATGGTCCATGATCAAGGGACAACATCGGCCTTTCATCAAACCACTCCCCATTTACCTTTGATATTTCACCTATTTACGGGCCATGCCACTCTAGAAATCTATAAATAAACATCTCATTTCTCTTGAGAGGAGGATCGAAACAAGAAGAGAAGAATGAATAAGAGAAGGAAGAGAAGGAAGAAGCTCCTCCTCGACCACCGTCGGACTTTTGCCAGACCACCACTTGTGGCCCTCACCTCTGCCAGACCACCACCTGACGTCGTTGTTTCGCCGGACCTCCACTTGAGGACCTCACCTCTGTCGGACCACCACCTGACGTTGTTGCTCCGCTGGACCACCATTTGAGGCCCTCACATCTGTCGGACCACCACCTGACGTATGAGCTCTGTCGGACCACCACTTGAGGCCCTCACCTCTTCCCGACCACCACTTAAGGCCTCGGACTTCTGCTGGACCACCACCTGAGGCCTGGACTTCCACCGGACCAACAGCTGACGTTGTTGCTCCGCCAGACCACCACTTAAGGCCCTGGACTTCTTCTGGACCACCACCTGAGGCCCAGACTTCCACCGGACCACCGCCCGACGTCGTTGCTCCGCCGGACCACCACTTAAGGCATCAGACTTCTGCCAGACCACCACCTGAGGCTTGGACTTCCATCGGACCACCGCCTTACGCCCTGAACTTTTGCCGGACCACCACCTCAGGCTCGGACTTCTACCGGACCACCACATGAGGCCTGAACTTCTATTAGGCCACCACCTGATGTTTAGAGTTCTACCAGAGTACCGCCCTTCTACTACGGTCTTTCAGACCCCGGTCTCCTACGGACTACGATCCTTTTGACCTCCGTCGTCTACTATGGTCTTTCCGACCTCCATCAACAGACAACAGTCTTTTTGATCCCGATCTCCTGCCAACTACGGTCTTTCAGACCTCTGTCTCCTACCTACTATTGTCCTTCCGACCTCCATCACCAAACAACGGTCTTTTGGACCTCTATCTCCTGCCGACTACGGTCCTTTCGACCTCCATCACCTACAATGGCCCTTCCAACCAATCAAACATGTCTATGTTGATTATTGTAACTCCCTGCATGTAATGCGCTCTATAGGACGTACATTTTTAATATCAAGCCAATGTCTTCTCCCCTAAGAAGGGCCTCATTTGTAATCGACTGCAAATACTAGTGGATTCAATCAAACTGGGCCATGCCCCTTGATTTTTTCTCCTTTTCAAGGGTTTCCACGTAAAAACTCTGGTGCCTCTTATAAACGCTTCACCCTCTCTCTTATCTGTTTGTGTGCTGGATCTTCATACAATGCTAAGACATTAAACTATATATTTATCTACCGCCGCGAATACTCCAGGACGCAACAACTGTGAGCTTTCTTGTCTTGAGCGTGGAGCGGGGATTGACAGGAGAAAGTAAAAGAATTTCTTATTGCCTTTTGAGATATTACACTAGTATATATAAAGAGTTCGAAGTGCAGGTTGTTACAGAGTTACAAGTTAAGTAAAATGGTCCGTATAATGTGATTGGCTTGACACCCCCTTGCAAACTGATGACGTGTGCGGCGAAATCAGTTTGTTAGCTAGATGCCGGAAGCGGACGATAGGTAATGCTTTGGTGAAGATATCCGCTAATTGATCTTTTGTGGAGATGTGATGTACAATGATTGAATTGTTTTTGATGCATTCCCGAATGTAGTGACAGTCCACTTCGATGTGTTTGGTGCGGGCGTGAAAGACTGGGTTGTTTGCGAGAGCGATCGCCGACGTGTTGTCGCAAAAGAGCTTGGTAGGAGTAGTTTGTGGGCAACCGAGTTCTTGAAGTAGTTGGCGGGTCCAGATAAGATCTGCTGCGGCGGCGGCTAGTGCTCGGTACTCTGCTTCGGTGGAGGATCGAGCTATAGTGCTTTGCTTCTTGACACACCATGTCACGAGGGAGTTGCCGAGGAAAGTGCAATATCCCGTGGTGGATTTCCTGTCATGATGATCTCCGGCCCAGTCCGAATCTACAAAAGAGGTTAAAGTGAATGAGGATCCGGATAGAGGTAAGCCAATGTTTATGGTTCCTTTGATGTATCGGAGTATTCGTTTTAGAGCGTCAAAGTTGATATCAGTTGGTTGGTGCATGAATTGACATGCTTTGTTGACGGCGTAGGTGAGATCGGGACGAGTTAAGGTGAGGTATTGGAGAGACCCCACTAATTGTCTGTACAGCAAAGGGTCAAAGAATAATTTTGAAGGCTCAGAAGAGAGGTGAGACTTAGCTGTAATGGGTGTGGCGGTGGGCTTGCAATTGAGCATTCCGGCGCGTTGGAGTATGCTGGTTGCGTACCGACTTTGATGAAGTAGTAGGCCGTCCGGTGTGGGAAGAGCTGTGATGCCGAGGAATTGAGATAGATTACCGAGATGTCGCGTATTGAAGCGTTTGTGAAGGTTGTTGAGAAGAGTTTGCACGGCTGCCGCGTTGTTACCTGTAACTATGAGATCGT